AGACCCATATTTTGTAGAAACGATTTATTGTGTTCGTAGATTTCTTCAGGTAATTTTGGCATTTGTTTGAACAAATCCAGTGGACAGACATACGATTTATCATCCTAGTTCATCAAAATTATAAGTACAAATTTTAATTATTTATTTGTAATTATTTAGCAACTATTTATACCGTAATTTTAAAAATACTATACTCACAATAAATATACTAAACGCTTGTTGCTCAAAATCAAAACACATAATCATTCTTAAGATATCGATTTCAATAGACGAGTACTTAATTAATATAATCCTATCGTTTTCGCACAGATTATTAAATCCTTGCAGACATTTCGACATATTCACAACCTCTTGTATAGCTCGTTCATTCTGCGACATAATTATGACCCAGGCCTCATGCGAGTCCCTTAAATGAGTAGGGTCCTTTGTTTTAGTCATATTAAATGAATAGATTTGCATTTTCTGCAATGCATTTAACAATTCAGTCAATCGATTGCTTTCTAATTCATTGAATTGATTGCTAGTATCGGTGATCGGATTCACGAGAGCACTGGTCGTTTGCTGCCACTCGTCCTCCAGATTGGTAATTGTCTTACTTTTATGACACATACATAAGTCGTCAGACTTTGTATACTCATTGGCGACCAACTCTTCGGCAAAACTATTCACATCTAAAGAGTCAAACGAAATGATTGTCTCATTATTCCTGTGATCAGACGAGGAACTAGTGTTTGAGTCGACGGCCACCTCTCGTGTCTTCTCGGCTATCATTTGACGCTTTTGTCGGTTCTCTTCGACAATATGTCTTCGGATTTCTTTGCGTTTCTCATTGTATATTAAACTCTAAAAGTTTTCATTATAAAATTTTAAAGTTTCAAACATTTGCTACAATTTCTCATGAATTCATACACTTTTCATTCCCACAGCCAAACATTTATCCAAACGACACTTTTTGCACTTTTTCCGATTCTTCACAGTTATAGTGCACTTTCCGCCCAAAAAACAATGAAATTGATGCTATATTTACGGAATATACTTAATACCTGGGTAATATTATTAGCATAATTTATATTTTACCGCATTTTTCAGCGCATTTCTGCGGAAAAACGATTTACACGATTCACACGTCAGTACTTCGAAGTGGTATCCTATTCATTGGATTCACAGAATTTGTGAGAATTTTTTATGAATATTCTGTTCACTAATGGCTTACCACACGAAACATCTCCGCATACGAGACATAGTCTTTGTTTTAGTTGATCCGACATTTTATTTATTAATATTTACATTGATCAGTTAATGACAAGTATAGTATAATTACATAGCACTTCAAAATTCACTGATTCTGCAATCACAGACTGTATGTGATCAAGGTCACTAGCATATACAGTGATGAAATATTGTATACGATTTGTGTAACATAATGTTATGCTGTAATAGTTTATACATTAATACTGTGTAAAGTATTGCAAACTACAAGTTTTATTATAACACAAATAATATTAGCAAAAATTAAATTTCATAAAAATAATAAAAGGACTTTTACACATTTTATGGTCGTGGTATACATTTTAATTTTATACAGAGCTACCCGGTCATTTTACACACTTATTAAGTAGTAGTTTTTAATACACGCTTTTATTATTAGCCCTTTTTACACACTTTAACAGCTGCTTTAAATACTCTTTATACCGGTATTAAACATAAAACTATAACTTATAAGTTATAATTATACAAACATTTTATTTAGCATTTAATATATTTCCAAATACCATCTTTACAAAATAAATTTTATAGTCTTTAAGATAGTAATAATATTGTGAATACATTATTGTCAACAAATACGGCAGTAAAAGTAATATAAATGGCATTACATTTTTACTCATTTCTGTCACACATTTCCAGAAATAGTGGCGGAAATAAATTAATTTGCCTTGATATTAACGCGATTTTGGTGTTAATAACAATTAAATACTTTAAATCGTTAATTAATCTTGAGTATTTTGTTTTCGATAGCAATTCCGATTGGTATCTCATTTTTAAATAGCGTTTCAGTAAATATACGTAAATACTCTGTTGATACCTGTAAAATGAGATAGCAAATAATTATATTTCTATAATTATTAAGCACTATTTAAATGAATAACTCACTGAACAGTTTCTCTATGCATTAGATTTGGCCGATCAGGGTTAAATAGTATTATAGCAGTTAACTATTAAATTTAAATTTAGGGATTAAATTTGTACAATAAAAATATTTATATGTAGTTATTACCAAGTCAAGTAATCTTGTATCCGATTCCCAGTCTAAACCCATATTTTGGTAAAAATCTTTGTATGAATTATAAATGTGACATTCCGTTGGAAATGTAGTTAATTGCTTGAATAGATTCATTTTTATGATATATGAATCGTTATTCTCCTAATTAAAAATACATTTTAAATATAA